TCTCAGTACAGAGTACTAAAAAAACCGGCCTCAAAAGTACGTGGAATTACGTTTATTTGCTAAGTTTCATTGAAATATCCCCTAGTTCGCCACTATACAGGACTTGATACTGGAGATAATAAAAATAGGTTCTCACTACGACACTACTCAAAGTATATCGAGAGAAAAACGCCTTGAATTGGAGAAATAGCAAAATCAACTAAATAATTGCTAAAAGTAATTGCTCCTAAATTAAAGTTAGGCGCTATTTATAAAAATGAATCTTCATGCGTGAACAGCCACCATTATGAGGTGGATGATTTTCTTCAAAATGAAATGGGACCACTATGGAAATACTCCCTTTCCAACAAAAAAAGAATCATGAAAATCGGTTCACAAATACCGGAGTTATCGCGTAACATACATACAAAAAAAAAACATACAGTCGAATTGAGAACCTCCTCCTATTTTGAAGTCGGTTAAAAACAGGACTGTCCCGCTCCAAAACGGGACGAATGGTCACATTAAATATACATCATCAGCATCTTGTAAAACAGAGAGCTAGAGATTGAAAGAAGAAAGTAAATTTTATTCAGTGCCACTAATCTTAAATTGTACTTACAAAATAAAAAATAAATTAAGACTAAAATTAAAAATACTGAATGGGCACCACTCAGCAAATGCCGTGGTTGAGAACAGCCACGCGTCAGCGCGATTGGAGATTTGAGTGACCTCTGAGCCGATGCGCACTTATCTAAATATCCAGCCTAGATTTTGTTTTATTAATACAAGCCTTCTGTCCACTTACCCACACTAAACTTATGTGCGTCTTAAACTTGTACTTGTACTTGTTAACTAGCTCAATAAGAAAAGAAGGATGGCGAAAGCTGCCCCAATAATGACGAAGAGCCGTTCATGGACTTCGTTGGTGTAATTTTGCGTTTTAATTTATGTCTAGTTATTAATATATTTTTGAATATTTTTAGAAGCCGGAATAAAAAAATTGTAAAACATTGTAGTTTAGAACAGATGTAAGAACACAACGCAATTGATTCAGTTCGACCATAGATTAGGTACCGTTCTTGTACGTACGTTTCATTTTAAGCATGATCGAATGTTTACCTTCCTGACGTATTGGTTATTTTATAGTACACACATAAAACATTAAAACTATAAAATTCCTAATGAATTAATCAATTAAACAGTAAAGACATAAAGCAAAAAATAAATCAATATGTGACAAAGATATTTGTACAATATTTAAATGAAGAAATAATGAAAGTTGCAAAGAAACGTTTTGACAAGAGACCTCTTGCTAATGTCAATGTCACATTGATATTGAGAACAGTGTTACCATTTGTGGCAGATTTCTGCCATTTGGGCAGATTTAATTTTTATTCACTTTCATTGCTACAGAACATGATAAGTTATATTAAATGTGGCAGAGTTAGGCAGATTTGGGAATGTTCGAGAAGTTCTTTATTATTTTTGGGGACAAATTGAAAACTTGTTGTTTTTTGTTACAACGAACAAACATCTGAAGCGAAATAAAGGAATGTTATAAGCATAACCTACATCAACTTTATAACCCCCACTTCTAAGTACAGACTGTAACTCAATTAGCTTTTTTGATGCTTTGATAATGAATCACAAGTATTGATAGGTCTCCTTAATGAACGTCGTCAAAATTTTCAGTCAGTGAGGAATCTATTATCTAGTGAAGTAAGTTAGTAAATAGTTTTACTGTTAAAGCGTGAAACACACTGACAACGGGTGCGAGTCGCGCGCGTGTCGGGAGCACGGCGGGTGCTAGACGAACGAACCAAATTCAGTGATATTCGCTCTTTATTCCTGACTTGTACCACAACGATCAGTTTCGGTGAGTGTACTATCAAGGGCTTCCACTTAGCAGGTTCTAATTACAGAGAACAATTTATACCGCCACCAAGTTGATTGTACCCTAAAACATTAGTTGGGTAAAATAGGGAATTACTGTATTTACATACACTACCAATGCAATGCTAAAATCGCAATGTCGCGTGTCGACGCCACATCTGTCGCATCGCACAGTTGCAACAGCTGTCAAAAATGGTTCTTATGCAACTTAAAAGTACCGTGATTATTTTATATAAAAAATTGAATAAATGAATGAAATATTGAATTGTCCATAAAATTGCAGTGACAACACTAATTTAAGTATAAAAATAGTTAGTTGTTGTGCAACGAGCGGCCTTATTGCTCTGTAGCCATTTATTCCAGGCAATCTTATGATAGAAATTAAGGATACGCAAACGGGATGAAATCAATGAATATCTACATGAACATACTACATAATAAGTACTAACAAAAACATATATGTATACAGGTTGTCTAACAGCTATGCGACAAAGAGTGTGGGTACATTTTATATTCTATATTAAGCATTATATGCTATACTAGTTCCTTTTAATGCTTAATATACATACGGATTTAGTTGCAGTAGAGCTCCTTGTGAAAGAGTTCGTCCAAGGAAGTACTGCCACCTTACCTATTTCTGCCGCCCATGGTGAAATTACAGGCACGTGGGACTTGTCAACTTATGTCTCAGGGTGACGGGCGCAGTGGCAGTGCCCCTCAGATCTTTGCGAATAAAGCTCTGAGTGGCACTGCAATTGTTATGGACAGGCGTGTAGCTTACGTACGACTTGCCATCACGCCATCAGGCGTACGACTTGTACGTAACGGATTACTTGATATTATAAAAAAAAAAGACTGCAAGTGAATTTTTATAGCAAAATTATACACAGGGTAATGAATTTTATGAACTAGATATGCGCGTGAAAACAAGCCATACGCCTTTCCAAAAAATCTTGCACATTCTCGAGAATTCCCACATCAGCTACCGTCGGTGACATCTGGCGGGAGGGAAGGAGGCGACGGCGTCAAACAAGTGAAGAATTATAAATCTTTGCAAATTTCATATTGACCTAAAAGTTTTGGATTGTTTCAAAATCTTGAACTCAAATATCCCTTTCTCCTTTCTCTGTTCTCCTTCCTTTTCTTTGTCTATTTCACAAATAAGCGATATGTAAACAATGTGCATGTCTACCATTCTTGTTATGTAAAAGATCTAGACTAAACAATTGAACTACCTTACGTAGAGTTTTTTATTTATTTATTATTTAAATATAAGTGCGAAAAAAAAATTGACCTCCATCTCACCTGATGGAAAGTGACTATGAGGTCGAGGATGTAGCATGCACATCTAAATAATGTCTATTCACTCTCGCCTTGAAAAGGTCCATGTTATAGCGTTCGGGGAAGGTGGAAGCGAAACGCTTCGTATGAATCCTGGGAATATCCACAACATAGGGGTAGAACCGCAGTCCACGTCTAGTCCCCCGATGTTGCAAAATGGAAGGTGGAATCAAATTATGCAATTCCATCGCATACTCTCCATGATATATCCTACAGAATACCGATAGGCACGCAACTCTACGGCGATGTTCAAGGCGCTGCAGCTTCGCCTCTACTAATCCCGAGTGACCTATAAGCGTCTTAGCACGCTTGTCTATTTAATTCAAGGTGGCCAGTTGGTATTTAGCAGAACCATCCCAAATGTGGCAGCTGTACTCCATACACGACCGATCTTGTGCTTGGTACAGCTGAAACAACTGTCCCGATGTAAAGTAAAGCCTCAAGGATGCCAAGATTCTTACGAGTAGCTGCATTTTTGGCTATGGATTCAATGTATCTGCCGAAGTTCAGATTGGACGACAGGTCCATTCCAAGTAGGTGATTAATCAGTATGACGATTTCAAATGTAATTCGCTTAGGTACCTATCTTAAAGATTATTTGGCTTTGACTATGACTTAACACCTATTAGAGTCTCAAGGCGCACTCGCTAGAATTCACGCGTCGCAATGTAAAGTGAACATACATTACACACAATCACGCCTATCTCCCACTGACTGAAGTAGGCAGATGCCGTGACCCTTCACTCTCCTCCACTCGTGTCAATGTACATTCATACATTGTTTTTATTAAAAAGGTGTTTACTGTTATAGTATATTTTAAATGACGAATACACAAACAAAAGAGCGAAAAAATTAAATAATATCAAACCAATGCACTAGAACAATTCAATTCTAACCGCGAAAAGCTAAGAAAAGAGGAAAAAATATCTTTGTAATCTGAGGACTCCTATTTATTTCTAAGTTTCACCCATTTACTTAAACTATTTTTTTCCATCCTTTAAGAGGGGCAGAGGAAAAATTCCTAATCTTTGATTTGATTTTACAGGGGTATATCCACTTTAAAGTTAAAAATAAAATATTGTATGAGTAACTACACGATATATTCAAGCATACACATTAATCAGAAACATAAAACAATAAAGTTTCCTCGATAGATAAAAATCACGAAATGACCTCTACTTTTCAAATTCTTTCGATTTATCCTCGAATTGCTACAGGTTATTAGGACAATAATTAGATAATTAATTATATTTATGCATGATCGACAACTGTCACTACGGATTTTGTTTTAATCCCTTTAGTTTTATAGTTATTCCGCTAAAACGAATTTGGTACTTTTAATGCGCAAAATTCAACATCTCCTGTCGCATGTCACGCGAACTTCAGGCATATATTTGTTTCACAAATTTGGGCGGAGCCAACGTCAAAACTTTTTTGGCATGCTTCCTCTTAAGCTCATTTACCTATTTGGGTAGGCAAAGGTTCCACCATACAGCCTCTTCATTATTCGTATTAATTACTATTTTTCCACAACAAAGTACAACCGAAAATGAAAAATATTTTTCAGCTGTTATCAGTTGTCATTTTATTGTCAGTAATATAAACTGTGAAAATTGATATTATTACCAGATAATATCAACTTTCAATAAGAAGGCAATACGCAAAACTATTATTACCTTACATGATAATATATTAGCTAACATGTCGTCTAAAATTGTAGAAGATTTGCACACTAGCATGCTGGATAAGCTGTTGTCCAGCACTGGGCTTGTCTGCACGAGGCCGGCGCCGGAGTCTCCTGGAGAGAGTATCGAAATGGAAACCGAGCACGAAGAGGGTAAATATAAGTTGTTTGGAATTACGGTACCAAAAATTCGAAACAAGCAAAAAAAAAATAGGCCGGAAGCCAACGTATATTTGTACTAATTTTATTGTTGTGGGATAAATGCATCGTTGGGTTCGATTCATCATCAGCTTCCACGCATCCAGTGCTGGACATAAGCCTCCCCTTGAGCACGCCAACTCTTCCGGTCTTGAGCCGCCCGCATCCAGCCACTGTCGGCCACCTTGCTCAGGTCATCCGTCCATCTTGCCGCGTCCCACACTACGTATTCCTTGACGTGGTCGCCATTCCAGAACAAGTCTGCTCCATCGACGATCAGCCCTCCTGCAGACGTGTCCGGCCCACTGCCATTTATTGATTTTGCGAGCTATCGATCACTTTAGTCCTTTGACGTATGACCTCGTTCGGGATTCGGTAAGTCAGAGAAATCCACAGCTTAGCTCGCTCTTGAATTTGTGGCTGAGGCCTATTGTTAATGTCCACGTCTCGGCTGCGTAGGACATAACTGCTAGAACGCACTGGTTAAATGCCTTAGTTTTTAGGCTTTGTGGGATTGACGACCTGAAGATGTACCTGGGCTTCCCAAGTACCGTCCAGCCCAAGCGAATTCTCCTGTCAGCTTCCTTCTCGAAGTTATGCTTGGCAAGCTGGATATTTTGGGCAAGTTAAACGTAATTATGCACAACCTCGAATGTAGCCCCACCTACGGTCCCGGAGTCACTTGTGCGTTGAACATAACTTTTATGTTGTCCAAATTCATCCTGAGACCTACTCGCTGTGAAGAATCGTTTAAGCTATTCAACATCTCGCCGAGCTCCTGCAGAGATTCCACCATAATAACAATATCATCCGCAAATCGAAGGTATGAGATTACTGCCCTTTGAGGTTGATGCCCCGTCCCTCCCACTCAAGCATTTTGAAGACATCCTCCAACGCGTTAGTGAACAGTTTCGGAGAGACGACGTCTCCCTGTCTTACTCCATATCAATTGATTTTGTCTTGTGCTCAGTCCTTGGACTTGGAAGGGTAACGGCAGTCAACCTGACATCTCCGGAATTAGTCCAGAACAGCTCAGATTTCAATGGTGTCGACGGCTTTTTCATAATCCTCATACGCTACGCAAAAGGGTTCGATTGCGCCTTTTCAAAGAGAGGTATCGAAATGACAACCTTGCACAAAGCAGGTAAATCTGAGTTCTTGGTATCACGGTACCACAAACCCAACGTAAACCAAACGTAACCACGTAACAACCAAAAGTAATACTTACTTGTACTCAGTTTGTGTGAAAGAGCAAAGTAGGGAGGTATTTGAGCTTATTGGGCAATAGCGCCTTTGGATTCGATTATGCCGATTGCGCCTTTTCAAAATTACCTCCAAGAAAACATTCTTTCTTGACAAGAGTTACCGGCAGACTTTTCATTACAAACCGCTTTCCAGGGAGTAGTGATGCCATCACTATTCTATATTATATTTAAAAAGGCGGAATTTTCATGTAAATACTTTTTGACTCAACTCAACTCAACATGTAAACTGTATAACATGTCCCCAAAGAGAGGACGTAGGCCACGCTGTCTAATACTGAAGTTTTTAAGAAAATATCTTTAACGCCACTGGTTCGAATCGGACCGAAGTAAAAACATTTATTGAATAAAAATAAAGAATTGACGAATTTTTCAGCCTTTAGGTTCTAGCAACACCATCTCGTTGATCTCTTAATAGAGATAAGCTCGCCATGTCCATTGTTTTTTTTCTTTGTACAATAAAGAATATATATAAAAATATATAAAAGTAATATGCTTAGTTGGTATAGCGTCTGGCACGGTAAGCTAGAAGACGTCGGTTCGAACCCGGCCGGATCGAAGGAATTTTTGCTGAGTGTTCGATCTTTGTATTAATAATTATAACAAACTAGTGGAGTAATTTCACAAAAAATAATTGAATATCAATTCAATAAAAATTTAAAAAACAGTGAATAGCGACATCTCTCGCCAGGGTTGGTAACTGTAAAGGTACTAACTGGGTGATAAATCTTTCATAGATTTCTCATAAATGGCGCTACAACTAAAAAGTCGTTGAAAGAACCAAATACAAAGATACGACGTAAGCCACATAGAAAAATTTGTGAGGTCCGCTGGTTCGTTCCGTTGCTTAGTTGGTATAGCGTCAGACACGGTAAGCTAGAAGACGTCGGTTCGAACCCGGCCGGAACGAAGGAATTTTTGCTGAGTGTTCGATCTTTGTATTAATAATTATAACAAACTAGTGGAGTAATTTCACAAAAAATAATTGAATATCAATTCAATAAAAATTTAAAATATGAAAGTAATAATTAGACTGTATAAATATCACTTACCTAATTAAGTTGATGTCCAGAACACGTAATCGACGAAGAAGAACAAATCCCCGAAACATTGTTCTCACCGTTAGACGAAGAGGAAATGGAGCCTGTCGCTATTGTAGACGATATACCGTTTCCTTCCCCTTCGCTCCGAAGGGTCATACCGGAGAGAATTAGAAAGATAGAGAAGCAGAATGGAATTCATGTCTTGCCTGAAGTTTTCAAGACTGATATTGACCCGGAGGATATACCTAGAGTGAGATTTTTCTCCTATATCTTGATATAACAACAGTCTTTCAAGTTCCATAACGTCGCCTAAACGTGATCGCGCCGAAAAAACCTTGCACACCTTATCCGCGCTGTATCGGACGAATCGGTAGAAGAATTTTGAAGGTACCCAAATTCCATTCAGGTGATTTTTTTCACGTTTTAAATTATTTATTATATATTCTATTATTTATAAATTATTTATTTATTCTCCAATGCACTGCCATTTTGAGTTGATATTATGAACCTACTTTCTTTTCCTTTGACGTATTTCACTTTCTTTATCTTCCATCAATAAAGAACTGACGATAAAAACCTCGTCAAGTACCATCACAATGTACAGATATATTGTACGTTTAGACAACACTTCAGAAATAACGAAACGTAGGCAATTCTTTCGATTCAACCGATTCGATTCTTTCGGCGAGGATAGTTGTGCGAGGCTTAAAGAAACTTCGTTCTTCGTTATATAAAAAGAAATTTACATATGTGAGTTGAGTGGATTTTTCCAGGAAGAACAAAAAAGTGTGCTATAAATATAGTAAACTTATTGTTTGCAGTTAGTACTCAAATTGGTTAAATTATACCTCTCCTATATACTACTTTTTTATAGTAGGTACCAAGACAGACAACTCTAATGTCTGTTCAATGTATTTTTTTAATAATACCAAGTGACGGGATGCGCCTGGTGGTAAGCGACACGCCTATCCATAACAGTTACTGTGCCACTTAGAGCTTTTAATCACACTTGTTTTAGGCACACTGCCACTATGCCCGTCACCCTGGGGCATAAGTTGACAAGTCCCATGTGCCTGTAATTTCATCAGCACCCTTACCAAACCGGAACGCAGTAACACTCACATTATTGCTGTATGGTGGCAGTTTCTCCCTGGACGAACTGCTTCACAAGGCTGCAACACTGGTACTAAATTATATTAGCTATCGTTGTGGATAGCAAAATCTGATTGGGTATGCGTTATTCCCACTTCGAACTTGTGATAGAAACAACGTAATTCGTATCACTTTTTAATAGGAGACATAAATGCAGGAAAATTCACTCATTTCGGAAAGATGATGAAGATACACTATAAATAATGATGTAAAACGTGTGCAAAGTAGATAGATAAAAATTAATTGGGTGCCACTATGCGGTTTGCGATATATTTTATCATAGTGAATTGTATATGTGACCCAAAATATGATGGGAAATACTACATAATTTATCTAAATATTAACTACACTATGTAAAATACAATAATAAAAGCCTTATCTAATAAATAATTATTCTTCGTTTGCGTACTAAGAACAAAACGTCCATAGTTTCATCAGAATACATTTACAAATTCATTTATAACATGAATGTACGTACTTATTTGGGTTGAATGTGGATTAGATTATTTTTCATAAACCTAACTTCCGTGTAGGTATATTTTGGCTGGTGGAGTACGTTCTAAACATTTAACGAAATGTTGGTTATGTCTTAGGAATTGTCTATCTTAATTATCTTATAATCTGTTTTAGATAAAACACACTGCGCCACAAAAATATATCGAGATACTGGGTGAACTCACAGGTTGTTCAAAGTACACGAGTAGTCTGGCTGAATATTGGTTTCTGGATACTCTGGCTAACTTGCTCCGAAGGGGACAGGATGATAACTTGGACAAACGTTAGTTAATATACCTGGTCTTCTGGTTATATTTTGCAATCTGCCAATTAACTAAGTATAAGGAGGAGTGAATTTTGGCATGAGAATGACACTTTTTGGTAATACCTCTCATTATAGTCTACCGGAACCGCGATGCTTATAAGTAGTTCTGAAATAGCTTTCTATTACAGGGCTATTTGTAATATACTACCGTCTCAGGACTGTATTACTAACATCATGTATACCTACGTTTGTTCCATGTCTTTTAATAATTCGTTCTTTTAAAGATTTACTTTCAGACAAAAATGAAAATATTTAAATAGATCGGTGATATCTCTTTGCAAAACGCGGTAGTCATCGCATCGAAAAGGACTTGCACGTTTGAACTTACTACCTTACTACCAACTAAGATCTAAAAAGTGTCAAATAGTACAAAAAACTTTTAAATTTGTTTTTGGTATTTTTGCCATGTTTTGTCAAAATCTCGAAACAAAAGTTGTTGTTTATGATGTTAGTAAGTAATCTTGTCCTGCAAGGTTATAAGTATTTTAAAAATAACCCTGTATATTCAACAACATAAATAATATTTTAATTAAACTAGGGATTTTTCGTCTATTACAAGCGCAAATATTTACGACACAAGTCTTTATTAGGGCCAGCGCAAACCGGCGGACGGGAAGGTAGAAGACATCAAATTTTGTGTATTTTATGCTATTTCAATTGCCTTTGTGGCCGAACGGGTACCATGCTGATCTGCCCGATCCCGGTCCAGAGGTTTCGATTCCCGGGTCGGGAGAAATATTTGTATGGGCTACATTTATTTCTCTCGTGAGTTTGGGTATAATTTGTGGTCGTCTATATATATGTCTGTGTCACCGGCGATACAGGGTTTCCTAAGTGCGGGCCTATGAGTGTGTGCGTTATTATTATTATTAATACGGTATAAATAGCAATGTTCGGGAATTGACCCCGGAGCATCGCAGCACATTTCTCTGTGCGAAATTTATACATGATTTCAATTCAATTAGTAGAAAATATACATTGATAAATTTAATGTCCTCTGCCTGCCGTCCGCCGATATGCGCTGGCCCTAATGAACCAGAACTAAAGAACTGTCTGTAAATTATATTTTCTAGTAAATAGAGCTCAATTTACATTACTGCGGAATGAAATGGAAGCGAAATTGTGTAACCACAGCGTAATTAACTTTCTGTGAATTGTGTAACATACAAACTAGATATGAGTAAAAAAAAGGGTCGAGCGCCTTCCAGAGAATTCTCTCGCGATTTTGGGAGATCTTGTCTAGTTTGTACGTTACACAATTGACATAGTGTTAATAATTATGCTATGTGTACAGTTTCTTTACGACGATTCGCTCCCGGAGCAATGTGTTATAAATTAATTCTAATATCACTCAGAACATTCAGAGGTCTGGAACTGGCACTTCGGTTTGCAAAATATGAGTCTCCAAACCTCCTTTAAAATTAAGCCACTACAATATCAGCGGATTTGTACGTCCCAATACCGGGCACGGGCCTTATCTCAGGCGAGGGTTTAGGCCACGCTGGCCCAGTGCGGGTTGAGAACTTTGCACGTTTTTCGGGGGTTATGAACCATCTTCGATGTGCAGGTTTGTCACGATGTTTTACTTCATCGAAAAGCTCAAGGTAAATTTCAAATTAAATTTCGTATATAAATTCCGGGAAACTCAAAGGTGCGAGCCCGCATTCGAACCCACGGCCGCTGCTTGAGAGGCGGTAGGTTTCTTTGTTTTAATAATAATATCAAGTGACGGGACGAACAAGTCGTGCAGTACAGTTGCAGTGCCACTCAGAGCATTAAATCGCAGTAATGCTGACAATACTGCTTGGCGGTAGAAATAGGTGAGGTGGCAGTACTTCCCTAGACGAACTTTTTCACAAGGAGCCCTAATGTAACTAATCAAATTAATTCACTTATTTACCACACACAATAATACGAAACAGAACATATAACAATACTAGCGGAACAAAAACAGTGCGTGAAAGGAACAGGCTCAGTTTAATCCTTGTGGTTGTGTGCCCCGCGGTACTGATTTTCCTGGTCTGCCTGGCTGGCCTTGCCAATAACACCACTATCACGATAAACATAGAATATTAATAATTCTATTCTATATATTTTTTATTACTAATAAATTAATAATAAAAAAAATGGTATAACCATGACTACGTACGACTAATTTATGTTTAATTAACAACAATAATAATTTGAAACCAGACAATATTCTCAGTTTCACTTAAGCTTGCTCCCTGTCCGCTCTGACTCTAAAATAATGAGAAGACGAAAAACACAGTTTATCTCACTTAAATTAAACTTAAAACCGTTAGGCTACCACAGCTTTTTTATTTAGGCCACTGTAGCTGATTACATATAATATTCAATCCTCAGATTAGAGCATTGCCAAATGTAATGTTTCAGAGGCTCAAGCGGTGTTGATTCAGTGGTTCTGCCAGTGGATGCGAGAAATGGAATATTTTGACGCCGCCAGTCGTGAGAGGATGCTTCGGAGATTTAAAGTTACTTTGACCATACTTTTAAGTTTCGCCTAAACGACCTATAAACAGACCATAATTTCTTTATTGTATATCATTTTCAATGTCCCACATACTGGGTTTTCAATATTTCGATGGCTTTCAGGAATAGTAGCCTATGTCAAAAGCATCTAATTTATCAAGGAGATGGTTGAGAAAGCTGAGAAACGTCTGCCGCTCTCGCGACCATCTGAATGTTGTCATGTGATTGTTCTATGCAATAAAAAGCATAGAATACCAATCACAATAAAATTTTGCATTTTACAAGTCAAAATAGGACCAATTTTTTTGAAAAGCACCAACAAGTTGAATTTCAGCTTGTCAACCAACGGTCCCTATGGTAGATCTTGTTTGTTTAGAAACCATATTTTCTCCCCCCTTTGTCATCTCGTGTATGATCTTTTTTTACGATACCAAGTAACGGAACTGCCAAGTCGTGCTCCTGGTGGCAAGCGACACGCCTGTGCCAAACAATTGCAGTACCGCTCAGAGATTTTAAATCACAAAGATGTGAGGAGCTCTGCCACTGCGCCAATCGCCTGAGACAATTTGAATAGTCCCATGTGCCTGTAATTTCACTACATAGCACCATTTAGGTACCCTTCAAAACCGGCTGAAATAGGTACGGTGGTAGTACTTCCCTGTGGGCTTAGCACATCGAGTATATAACCAGAAATAGAGACCAGATGTCATTTAATTTGTTTGAAAACTATTCTGCCAAATCATCACAGTGACAACTGCGCTCCGATTGGCCAGCGCGAATTCGAAATAATTGACGGGTGTCGTCAATTTTTATGTTTTTCCCACACCACCGAATAGAACAACCCTCATTGTTAGAGATATTATCTTTATTACAATGAATACAGAATATTTTTGGAATATACGGAGACGTATATACAGGTCAGTTGTTGGCGTTATACTATTTCAGTTTTCTAATTTGTGATTACAGCGCAAACAAGAGTTGATATTTGACTGATGAGTTGCCAGGGAGTTGCGTTTATTTCGTCTCTATTTCTAGTTATATACCCTTTGGCTTAACACGATAGGCCATGACATGCACGAGAGTGACATAAAACCACGAGATAGGGTTAAACCGGATTAGATGACCCACTTTTTGAAAAGGCTTCCTAATTTTAAAATTATTAGTTTATGTCAATTGTAAGTCAATGGTTTACCATGAAGAATTCCTATGGATATAAAGTTTAATCTTTTACATTACATTAAGACTTCATTTTTTTGATCAAACATTTACTGATTTTGAAGAAATTAACTTTTTGCAAAACTATTTTTTTGAGGATAGATGCTTACCTATACGGATAGACGCCACACGATGAAAATTCTAAGAAGGATAGATGCCCTTTAGAATAAAATAGTCAAATTCATAATAAAATGTTTTATTTGTGATACTTAATATAATGTATATACATATTATATCTTTTATAATAAAT